ATCTCGTTCCCCGAGCCTGCGATCCTTGGGAAGGAAACGAAGGCTCTGGGATAATCCATCTCAGACATACAGAAAACTGTATGTCGACCGAACTGCGCATGCGTTGGCAAAAGCAAAACAAATTGTTTGAAATATTTTATTGTTTCGTCTATAAATGATGATTTTTTCTGGGTTTTGGTGGAAATGTTGATGTTCTTCATAGTGGGATACAAAAGGTGTGTTAGTGACTGAATAAGGAAAATATTGCGTGTGAAACAGGGTCAGTATAGAGCCGGCAGGAGCCGCGAAGAGTGCTGTTGTCGAAGAAAAATGTCACAATTAATTGTAATCTTGTCCATTCACCTCTGTGTCAGTTTGAAAAAGCTTTAAATGTAGAGACATTTGTGGTTTCTCCAGCATAATTTAGCCGTTTAACGCTATTATGTTTCTAATGGTTGAAAGAGCGCGTGGAAAGGGCAATTTTCAAGAACAAAAACAATTACAATGTACTGTGTGTTAATTGCTACTCAGCTACTGTAATATTAAAATACCTGAAGAGAGTCTCAATTCTAATATTAAGTCGGTTATAAACCTTGATAATATTAAAGTTTTCAGAAGATTTGTATATCAGAGGAATATTAAAAGGAATTTAGACTTATAAAACATATCATTAAAAATATGAATATAGTGAATTCCATGTTTGTATTGTGTTTAATATCATCTCTAGAAATTAACAGTTTATAAACTGCCCAGTTTATATTAACTGCCCTTATAGCTTTCCTTATATGTTTTAATATTTGCAAGCAGTTTAGTAGGTTAGGGATGCAACAGCACTTTTCAAATTATTGAATTATAACCAAATTTTGTGTCCGGATAGGAATTACTATTAAAGATTTACAGTTTGTAATGATAGAGTTGGAGCAAGTTAAGCTGCAATGTGTCTAAGTTTGCCCTACTTTGTTATTTTAAGCTGTTTAATGCCAGAATTTTTTCTCGTCAAGGGGAAAGTATTGGACTTGGTATTTGAATGGGTGAACCAGTCCATCTGCTAGCCTGGGCGCAGACTATATAATGATATATATATATGGCTATCCATCTGCATGTCTACCTATCTTTGGTTAATTATCTCATTAGATCATTAAGCCACAATGCTCTTTAGTGCACCCTATTTTGTTATTACACTGTACTTCTGGACAATATTTCTCATCAATGGCCGGAAATGTACTTGACTTCATGTTGATTACTCATTACTGCCATTAAAGGGACTCTACAGTCATTTTTTAGTCAAAAAGCCATCTTAAGTAGGGGACTCCATGCACAGAGATTCGTTTGGCTGTATCTTACATGCAGTATCCATGAGTATGAGTACTTCTGCACACCGGAAGACGCATGCATGCCATGATGCACATGTCAAGTAGCGACAATAACAAAAAATGTAAACAATACTTACTTGACTAAAAAATTACTGTAGAGCCCCTTTAATTAATTAACTACAGTACTAAATAGGACATTCAAGGTTTTTAATTAATTAACTACTGTACTAAATAGGACATTCAAGGTTGGAGATATAATAGCAATAGAGGTTGCTATCATTGTAGCATTCAGGGCGTTGCTAGCCCAAATTGTCAGGCATTTGGGAATTTATTGTATTGCAATCGGGAAATTGTTTTCGTGGCCAGCATGATTTGAATTGGATAGGAAGGGAAAAAACTGAAATATATGAGTTTTTGTTGCCCCTCCCCTTCTCAGAGTAGGTATGTGTTGTTTTATAGTGTAAATAACAAGTTTTGATATTGCAATCAAACTGACAGGGTAGTTGTCATGACCATGGTAATAAAAATATTTCTATGGCTTGGCATTTATATTGGGCAATTTTTTTATCATTCATCACAAAATGATACCTGCATCCTAGGTGGTTCCCTACAGGGGGTCATAACCAGGGGGAAGCTGATGAAAATGAATTCTGGTATTGGTGGCTGCATGATCACTATCATTTAATATGAATAGAACATTTCTTAAAAAAAAGTATATGAATTTATAAAAAATATTTATATGGTCTCCCAATCTAGAATTCATACTTTGTAACATCTGGATCAAAAGGTTTATGACGTTTTCTTGGACAGAATCCAATTAATACAACCTCGTACAGAGGGCAGGGCTTCTTTGAATTACTGTGTGGACAAGATTAACAAAGGGATTGCCAATTTGGCATATTGTGCTACTCAATAAATTAAAATCATTAAATACTTTATGCTACAATTAGCTGTCAGTAATATTATACTGTATATTATTGTGTTTCATATGACATCATAAATTTGATGGGTGGTCAACTCTAAATCGAGACACAGTCATCAGAGGGAATTAATTTTTCACTGTATGTGTTGGCCTTGTGTTTCGTTGCAAATACATGCAATTTCATGTCATTTTCTCACTCCAGTACAACATAAGCATCAATACATTTTTTAGGTTGACCCCCCGTCAGAACCAATGACAGAACGTGCAAAATGCCATAGTGAAATCCAATAATTCATTATATGTATTATGCACCTGAATATTTTCTGTGTTGGTGTAGTGTACTCAGGTGAATATGATATTTGCATGTGGTGTTACTCTGAGTGTATATCCACACCGGGCGAGCTTGAAAAATATGCCCGGCCACGGTGGGATTCTAACCTACGACCTTTGGAATACTAGCCCAATGCTCTTCCAACTGAGCTACGCGGTCAGGACGGTTCGAGTAAGTGATATTTCGGAACAGAATCTAGTTCCTTCAATACCAATGTATTCTAGTAATATGAATTTTTTCTGTGTTGGTGTAGTGTACCAGGGGCTAGTATTCCAAAGGTCGTAGGTTCGAATCCCACCGTGGCTGGGCATATTTTTCAAGCTCGCCCGGTGTGGATATACACTCAGAGTAACACCACAAATATCATATTCACCTGAGTACACTACACCGACACAGAAAAATTCATATTACTAGAATACATTGGTATTGAAGGAACTAGATTCTGTTCCGAAATATCACTTACTCGAACCGTCCTGACCGCGTAGCTCAGTTGGAAGAGCATTGGGCTAGTATTCCAAAGGTCGTGGGTTCGAATCCCACCGTGGCCGGGCATATTTTTCAAGCTCGCCCGGTGTGGATATACACTCAGAGTAACACCACAAATATCATATTATGCACCTATCAATGTTAAGCCCCAGAGAAGGGGGATCAGGCATAGGTGGGGCATTTGATTTTTAGAGCAAATTTTCAATCAAATGCCCCACCATCAGGCAATAAATATTAGTCAAATGCCCCACCATTTTGCAAT